TACATTACACGTTATTGATACAACTATTGGCACAAATGAATGTACATTTTCTCTTAATGAACAGCAAAAGGTGTAATAGACTATCAGTATAAGTATTAAATGTTAGCTGGAGATAAACACGGTTGTGCATCTGGGCTGTGCAATACTTGTGTTTCGCGATTTCCCTTGCAGCAATGAGTCAGTAACGAACGGATGTCGTTTGCATGTAATGCGCGCGCGTTTGTTATTCTTACAGTTGGTCAGTTGGTGCTGCATACAAATTAAATTAAACTTACCAACTCTTCTCGGATTCACTAGCATCAATACGATGAAGGTAGCAATGTAGGCTGTTAGCATGTTTAGCTTAGCGAAATACTTCAAATTTACCAAGGGAATTTGTATTTCTGTGTGCCAATTCCTTCTCTGTCAAACAACACTGCTTTGTTGTCAGCCGATCAATATTCTTCGCATGACGGAAGAAATACTTGTTATGGGCGCATTGCACTAAAAATATCTTTAAAAAAATATTCCGTTTTTGGCAGTGAAATAAAGGTCTTTGATATTGTTACTACACATTGAAAAGTTATGCATCACAAATTTAGCTGACAACAAAAACGAAAAAAAAAAAAGCATTTTCCAAAACACGCTGCATGACTACAGTTGATATGCTACTGGAAAAATAGATCTCGTGTTTCAGAAAGGTCATGCATCTTTCGTTTTTCTTAGAAAGGAAATAAAAAACCATCAAATCTGCTTTTTTATCTAAATAACCCATTTGGCTAAACTAAGTCGCATTACCCGGAAATTCATGCAAATAAAAAATCCTATTCCTTCAGAAATCTCTTAGGAGTTTCTGTTACGAATAGATATGAGTATCATTGCCAGTATTGTTCCAAAACATTGACACATGGTTTACTTATGTAGTCAAAAAGGTTTTGCTTAATCAAGCGAATGTAGCCATGCCAGGAGGTACATGTAGGAACAATTGCATCTGTTTTTTAAAAAAATGTTTACTAGAAATGAAATTAATAAAAATTGTGCCTCTTTATTGTCATGGCTGACATCAACAGAAACTGGTTTTATTGAATAGTTACGAAACCAAGACTCTTAGTCATCTTCAGTTTATAAGGGTATTGGTACTCTATTTTGTAATAAGAAGGTGAAACAAGTTCACTTTCGCACGCGTTTTTAGATATTATTTACCGGGATTATTTATAGTTAGTGAAATGTATAATAGTTAGTTAAGTTCTCGAGCTATTATCGTTAAACTGTTGTCGGTCTTTTGTAATTTATAGTTCTTTACTTTAAACTTTTTTTCTATATCAATGTTTGTGAATAAAGAAAAATGAGCAAATTAAACCACAGGGAGCCCAATTTAGATTAAAGTGAATGGTGAAAACAAAACGGGAAAAATTAAATAATTAATTATTTTTTAAATTCTAGATCACGATATTGTCCTCTGTTATGCGCAAGAGCCAAAAAATCAATGAAAGATGCACTAGAACATTTTATTTTCGCGCGCGCCATTGTTTTCCTATATAAATTTCCTATGGCGCTGATGTTGATCTTATTTATATATACTCTGACAAGGGAGGGAACTTCAGTCGCTACATTTGAACAAACAACTCACTTTAAACCAGGATTTCATTGTCTTTTAAACCTCGAACTCCACAAAATACTTGATCAAAATGATCCCTACGATGTGGGATTCATTTATTTAAAACTCTTTTGGCTCTTCCTACGAGATTTCTATGGCCGAATTTTTCGTGCAGAAAACATTTCGCTTGCAGAAAATTTTGCGTAGGACTAGGGCGAGTACGAATTTCGACCTTACTACTCTTCCGCACAGGATTTTTGTAACGTGTACGTGACCCACCACCAGCCACCCCACAGGGCTAGTTTTGTTCTTGAAAAATTCTTCCACAACGTCTCTATGGTCGACATTTCTTTGCTTTTTTGGTTGGTTTCACTTTGAAAAATGAAAATTAACTACAGATGATTCAACAAGATATCAGGTTTAGTGAAAATTACAATGGATGTTTTTCATTTAACTTGAAATTTTAGAGATTTCCAGACTTTTTCAGGAGAAAACTGCATCATCATTAAAGCTGGTAAGCAAAAATCGATGCTAAATTTTCATGCTTTTCGTTTTAGAAGTCCTGAAGGTAAATTTAAAATATCTTAATGAAAGTTTGGTTTCGTTGTTTAAAGGGCCTGGCAAAAAAATAAATGATTCAATAGTTGAATAATCAAGCTCAGGAACGACGTATATCTTATGTCCAGCGCTTATAATCTGTTTTGCTGCTAATAAAGTAAGCATGTCTTTTTTGTTACTTTCATTGCGGTAAAAATACTCTATACAAATACTCTATATAAAAACTTAATATGGATAACCAAACGATCGTTAAGTAAAAGAAGCATCGATTTTTGCTTACCAGCTTTCATGATGATGCAGTTTTCTCCTAAAAAATTATTTAAATAAAAATAATTTAATAATTTATTCAA